GGGGTTTTCTGGGTGCCAGGAGGCTGCCTTAGGAATCATGGAAATCTTGTCAGGTTTCTGTCTTTGCACCCACAGAACACAAGGCTTTGCTTTAAGAAAGGCTGTGGCTTTCAGTACAATTTGGGAACATGCTGACATGGAAGCTCCTTCTGTTCATTTTAGGCTTCTAGTGTCTCACTCTTATTTTCAGTTTCAGCGGTGGTTCTATGTGTGTGTGTATGTAGGTGGGTATACATGTGGAAGCCAGGGACAACCTCGGGTATGATTCCTGAGGAGCCACCACCATTTGTTCCAACTCTTTCGCTGGCTTGGGATTCACGGTTCTGGCCAGCAAACTCCAGGGTTACACGTGCCTCTGCCTCCCCAGCACTGGGATGACAAACACGGCTCATCATCACCCCCAGGTTTCGATTTTTTTAAAGTTTTTTTTTCCCCCCCTGAGGGTTGAATTCAGGTCCTCACACTGTGTGGCAGGTGGCAGGCAGGCAGGCAGGTTACTGATGGAGCCAGCTCTTCAGCCTCTATTACAGTGGAGGGTCTGGAGTGAAACCCTTCCTACCGGCCTTCAGGCATGCCCTTTAAGACTGAGTATGTTGTCATTTGAAGTTTTAACTTGTTCCTTATTAGCCTGGCAGTGGCTTCCCTCTCCTCTGACTGACAGCCGGAGCATAGCACTTAGGGGAAATTACTGTTTGGCTGATGGCTCACTTTTTATTTCCTGGACTTGCTCAGAGGTGTAGTAAGGTTCGCTAGCTTCCCACCTTCCCCATAGCTGCTATTGTAAGTAACTCAAATAGTTCTGCGAAACAGAATTATCCCTACAAAGCAAACAGAGCCCCCTGACCCCTGATGCCAAGTACCATACTGTATGCTTGGGTGCCGTCCTCCTGGGAGAAGAAGCCACAGTAAGATTTAGGATGGTCTGGCTGTCCTTCCTTGGGAGCCAGGATGCCCTCTGCTGTGCCTGGCAAGGCAACTGGGAGTTAGCGTGGAGAGGCAGGGACACATGCACCAGCCTTACGTGACTAATCATGCTCGCTGATCATGTGTGATGGCCCACAGAGAGGACACGTCTCCATCTGGCATGTGTTTTGTGCTCTGCCAAGAGTTGAGTCTTTGTTCCCACACACATACCCATTGATCTCACTAGCTAAAGTGATTATCATCACTTAGCAGCCTTTTCAGAAAGCCTCATTTCCACTCTAAAACACCACTTTTATTTGCCAAAGAGCTACAATGTTGCGTCCTGGCAATTGATCAGCGTTTACTGGCAAATTATGTAAGCCCTTGGTGGGCTGCCTGATGGAACAAATGTATCTGTGATCTGTGTTAGGATCTAACACCAGGCCTGGTCCCTGCAAGTGGAGAACAGCTATCCTCAGATGCATTTGTTCATTAATTCAGTGTTTATGCTTTGATTGGTTAGGGGGAAAAAAAAGCAAAAAACAAACAAAAGCCCTACATTTGCTTTAGGCACTCAGCTGAGAGATGTCATCATTTTGAGAAAATGTTGGGTGGAGGTTGTCAAGAAAACGTGAATTGTGGATGGTACATTAAATTCAGATATGTGGCTTGCTTCCCCAACCTGGAGTTGCGGTTGGAATAAACCATGGTGGCCATATTCAAGGACTGAAATGTAATTAGAGTTGATTGTAGCAACTGTGGCAAAGAACTCGTAAAACCCTAGTTGAGCTTCTCATTAATAAATATTAGAAGATTTTTTTTTTCACTGAAGAGTGGGCATTAGCATAAGAAGAGATTGTTAGTGAATAAAAAGAAACCCCATTTAGTAAATAGAACACACACACACACACACACACACACACACACACACACCCTCAAGTCCCTCTGTTTGCACAGAGGATCTTAACAGCAACAAAAAAGCCACAGGTATATCAGTGTTGGAGTATTTCCTTAGCACGTGGAAGGCCCTGAGTTTGGTCCCCAGCACTGCCCACAACAGATTTTAAAAACAGATAGAGAATCCTATGATGGTGCTGAGAAAAGGGGTCAAGATGTGGCTGGTGAGTTTGGTACTCTCCGTCATGCACTGCTTCCTAGCTCTAAGGCAAAGCCAGTTGTTTTCAGAATAGAGCCTTCCTGTCCTCCGCTCCCTGCCTACCTGCTCTGTTTTATGACATCAGTAGTCCTTCTGTAAGCAAGCCTGATTCAAACCATTGGGACACATGCTCATGCAAATGCACACACACATAGACACGCACAACTAAAAGGGGACTGGTTGGGAGGAGGATGAGTATTGGCTCCAATGACATGGAGACATGAGAGGGTAGTAAGGGTGAACATGAGGAAAACATCTATGTGTGTAGGAGAATGTCATGATAAAGCCATCATGTATAATCCATATATGCTAATTTTAAAAGTTATCACTAAAATTATCAAGTCAGTGCTGTCACGATGGCTCATAGTCATAGCTGTTTACTTGCTGTCAAGCCTGATGACCTGAGTTTGAACCCACAACCTATATATTTTAAGGAAGGAATCATCCAGCTTCCATATGTATACACACACGCACACACACTAATAAATGAATGCAATAAAAACTATCAAGTTAGTTAAATTCAAAAGTTTGTCTCCTTTTCCCAGCCCTCCTCAAGTGATAGTAAAAGAATCAACACATCGAGACCCACAATAGTGAAGACTGTGGGTGGAGAGGTTAGTGGAGGACTCCAAGGCCAAGGGAGGGGCAGAGGTAGTAGCTGCACTCAAAAAATGAAGCCCCCATGCCTGCAGCCTCTTGCAGACTGACTGGCTGTGACACGCAGGCTAGATTACTGAAGAAGGCAGGGGAGAAGGGTCAAAATCCAGGGGCTCACTTAAGAACTTGGAGACTTAGAACTTGGAGAGTTAGTCCTCAGAGTGTTCTCAGCACCCTGGAGATGGGGCTGGCCTTTTCCTGCACCTTTCCCTGACTCCAGCAGCATCAAGAACAAATGTGCCCGGAATAAGTGGTGCACGGAGCGAGAGGGACCCACGGCAGTTGGGCCCTCCAGCTGTCTTCTGCCGTGTCTAATGACACAAGCAGGCACTAGTGAAGCCCAGCAGTGGATTGACAACGAACATTTTTAAAGACTTTATTTCCCAGCCTTCCCTTGTAGTAGGGAGGGCCGATGAGTTGGCTTTTCTCAAGAGGTAGTATGTGTGTGTTTGTGGGTTTGTACACACGAGCGTGCAGAGCCCTCAGAGTCCAGAAGAGGACACTGGGCCTGCCTGAGCCAGAGTTATAGGTGGTTATGAGCCCCCTGATGTGGGTGCTGGGAATTGAACTCAGGTCCTATGTAAGAGTAGTACATGCTCTTCATCACTGAGTCAGTCCCAAGCACTAATTTTTCAAAGAAACGACTAAAATATTTGTGTATATTTTACTACCACAAGCTGGAAACAGAAGGAGGCACAGACGTAGTTGGATAGAGGGAATGAGATCTCTTTGCAAAACTCTGTGCACATGCATTTGAAACTCTGGCTGTAACAAACAACTTGACTGCAGACTAGAAAGGAAGACTCAAGAAGACCCCAGAAACGGACAGAAACTAGGTGGCTGTTATCCGTGAAGAGCAGTTGCTGGTCTCCTGGAGGTCTCTGTGGGGCTGCCATTTCTTGGGCTGGTTTCTCCTGCACTCAGAAATAGGCATGGTGGGTTGTCCTGGTTAGGGTCAGGTCTGCAGGGTTATCTGTGAAGAGCAGTTGCTGGTCTCCTGGAGGTCTCTGTGGGGCTGCCGTTTCTTGGGCTGGTTTCTCCCGCACTCAGAAATAGGCATGGTGGGTTGTCCTGGTTAGGGTCAGGTCTGCAGGCCTCGATTGGGCAAGGGTGGCCACAGTCTGCACAGGAGGAGCAGTGAGTCTTGGTGTGGTATCAGGGCCATCACAAAATAAAGGCCTGAAGTCTTAGCCCCTTGTCTCCCAACCCCCAGGAACACTTTTCAGATGAATATACCAGGTGGGACTTTTTGGCATGAAAAAAAAAAAAAGATTTTAAAAGATTCCATCATTTATTCTCATTGTTAACTTTACAAACAATTCCTTAGAGTTAAAAAAAAGTCTTAAACATGGTATTTAGGTAGTATTAAAGATCTCAAAGCTAGGAAAACTGGAGTGTAGCCCAGTTGCTTAGCATGCGTGAAGCCCTGGGTTTGTTTGCCAGCACTGTGGAAACCAGGCACGGTGACACTTCATATTCCAAATGCTCAAGAGATGGGGGCAGGAGGCTGAAGGTCATTTTTGGATATATAGCAAGTTTGAAGACAGATTGGGAAAAATAAGACCGTGTCTCCAGGGTCAGGTTGGGGGGAGACGGTGGGAAAGAGATGAACAGCTAGACGGCTCAGTGGGTAAGGTGTTGGCTGTCAATCCTGATAACCTGAGTTCAGATTTTGGGGGTGCAAGTAGTAGAAGGCGAGAACTGACTCGTGTGTTCTCTTCTGGTCACATGCCCACTGTGGCACCCATGCATCTACACACACATGCACACATACATTCATCCACAAGGTGAGTAAACATAAAAGATTTTAAAGCCAGATGTGCATTTAGAAGGGCTGATGGTGTTTTAAAGGGAAAACTAAAGATGAGCCTCCGATTGCCTTAGCTCTTAACCATTTTCATGGAAAAGTACCTTGTTCTTAATTGCAGGCAACCAGAACAGCCTCTTGGTTAAAGATAAATAGGACAAAGTGTGAGGAAACCTACTAAGGGAAAAAAAATGACCAGAATAGCTGGAAACCAGAGTGGACCTGTGCCAGAGGCCAGGTCATTACACCAGAGACTGCCCTCAGGCCAGGACTGCAGCCAGTGCTGGCATGCCAGCCATCACAGGCTCAAGGACATCCAGAAAGGAGTGCAGGGCAGGGCAGTGCTCAGTCATGGGTTCTGAAGCCTCTAAAGAGTGCCCAGCTGGCTTTGAACCCTGACATTTTCCCTTCATTATCATTCCATTCTTTGCCTATACAGATGTGACTCTAACGTAATGTCCTCTTTCCTCCTGCCAGCCGGACAGTGAACCATGGAGCTATATTTTGGTGAATACCAGCACGTGCAGCAGGAATACGGGGTCCACCTGAGACTCGCCAGTGATGACGCCCCCAAGGCGAGGAATTCCCAGCCCTCAAAGTCAGGCTCCTATGGTGTCAGTATCAGGGTCCAGGGAATCGATGGCCACCCCTACATAGTCCTGAATAACGCCGAACGGTGTGTGGCAGGCATGCCTTTTCCAGAAAACGGGCCACCGTTCCCCTCTTCGGTGATAAATAACCTGCCTCTACACCCAGGCAACGCGACCGTGTTGAAGGAGAACAATTCCGAAGAACTGCCGCTCCCGGACAACCCATACCTGCAAAGCAGCCCGGTAAGAAAGCAGAAACCGTCCTCCCTCCAAGAGGGCAGGAACGGGGTCCTGGAACGCAAAGACGGGCCCACAAAACTACCCCACGTGCTCAACTTCCAGAGGCACCCCGAACTCCTGCAACCCTACGACCCCGAGAAGAGCGAGGTGAACTCCAAAAAGCACCACCCTCCGGAGAGTCCCTGGCTGAGAAACGCCCCAGAGGAAGGGACCAACTGCAAGAAGCCCCGGAACGGCTTCCCCAGACCCCGCGGTTCCCAGCCCAACAGCCCCACTTCGGAAGACCTGACCAAGACCAACGTGACGGCCATCCGCCTGTGCAGCTCCGTGGTCATAGAGGACCCCCAGAAGCAGACCTCGGTGTGCGTGAACGTTCAGAGGTGCGCCAAGGACGGGCCGGGCGAGGAGGCCCTCTCCCCTCGACGGAAGTCCCCCAGCCCGCAGGCCTACCCGGAAACCAAGAAGAGCAGGCCGGATGTACTACCGTTCCGGCGACAGGACTCCGCGGGGCCCGTCCTGGACGGGGCTCGGTCGCGGAGGTCCTCTTCGTCATCCACCACACCCACTTCGGCCACTTCCCTGTACAGGTTCCTGCTTGATGATCAGGAGTGCGCCATCCACGCCGACAACGTCAACCGGCACGAGAACAGAAGGTACATCCCGTTCCTGCCGGGCACTGGGCGGGACATTGACACCTGCTCCATTCCCGGCGTGGACCAGCTAATCGAGAAGTTTGACCAAAAGCCCGGCCTGCAGAGGAGAGGACGATCTGGCAAGAGAAATCGGATCAACCCGGACGACAGGAAAAGGTCGCGGAGCGTCGACAGCGCCTTTCCGTTCGGTCTCCAGGGGAATACCGAATACCTCACGGAGTTCAGCAGGAACCTGGGCAAGTCAAGCGAACACCTCCTCCGGCCGTCCCAGGTCTTCCCGCAGAAGTCGCTGGCCCAGGAGCACCGTGGAAAACAGAGTCCGAGCTGCACCCTGGCAAAGCTGCAGGGAGCCACGCAGGGCGCTCAGGGCGCCCTCCCCAAGCCTCCCCCCGGGAGCAAAGATGAGAAAGTTCTGGGCAAGGGGAGTCAGGAGGGCACCGTGGCGTGTGCCTCCTCCCTTCCAGCGCAGAATAAAAAAGAGGAAGAAATCAAAATAGCCACGGCCACGCTGATGTTACAGAACCGGGCTGTGGCGGCCACACCAGATTCTGGTGCCAAGAAAATCTCAGTGAAGACGTTTCCTTCTGACTCCAATACTCAGGTAACACTTTTCTTTTTTTAATATTTTTCCTTTCAAATTTTATTTGTTTGTTTGGGTTTCTCAAGACAGGCTTTCTCTGTGTAGCCCTGGCTGTGCTGGAACTCACTCTGTAGACCAGGCTGGCCTCGAACTCACGAGAGATCCACCTGCCTCTGCCTGCAGGTGCTGGGACTAAAGGTGTGCGCCACCACCTCCAGGCTGGGTCTTTCCTTTGCTAAGTGGCCTAAGCAGTGCGCTCTAGGTTCGCGTGCCCTGTCTTGAATTAGTACAGGCACATTTGATGATTCTGTGTGTGTCAGTGCCCATTTGCAGGTGTGGACACATACGCGGATGTGCAGGTACCTAGTGTGTGGAGGGCAGAGGTGGCCATCCAGTGTCTCTCTACCTCCCCAGGGCTGGCATGAGAGGCATGCCCAGTGTTCTGGGGATGGAACTGGGAATCTCATGCTTCCAGAGAAAGCACTTTACCCACTAAGCCAGCTCCCCAGCGCTTGCACATTTTCTCTTATTTTTTATTTATTTATTTTTTTATGGTATCAGGTCCCACAGCCAACTGTATAGTTTCCTAGGTTCTTCTGAGTGCTCCCAGCCTCACTTTCTGTAAACCTCCCTGTCGAATACACACACAGAGATTCCGCCTCTCTTGAAGTATATGAAATCTGCATGTATACCGAATGAGCTTTAACACATAAGGTTCTGAGGTTAGGTTCTTGTCCGTATGGGTGGCTGCGTTGGTTTCTGGTCTGAGAAATTAGGTTAACTAATCCTAATTTAGGTTAATGGCACAGTGATAGATTCTAAGTGGCACATTGGATGTTTTCATAGTAACAGTAAAAACAATGCTAATAACAGTAATACAAGACAATGACAAGGCTGGCGAGTTCCAGGTGCCATGTGGAGATAGCAGTGCACCAGCTGTGTGAAGGCATTGCGGTTAACCTTTCGTTTACCCCTGAGAAAATCCAGGGGCTGTGGCATCACGCACCCGAGGGTACAAAGCACGTAGAGGCTGGGAGGAGGGAGGATGAATTGATTTTGGAAAGGAAATGTGCTAGAAGCCTCTGCTTCAAGGTTGTTGCCGTCTTCCGGGGAGCGTCACCCTCCTGGTCTCATAACATACTTTATTATGTTCCAGGCCACTCCAGATCTCTTAAAGGGCCAGCAGGAGCTCACGCAACAAACCAATGAGGAGACGGCCAAGCAGATCCTTTACAATTACCTCAAAGAAGGGTGCGTGGTTTTCCTTAAAGAACAGAGTCATCGCTGCTTCTGGCAGGGTTTTAACTCTTAGTTCCTCTTCTATCTGAGCCATTCTGTCTCTATGGATGCAGTTTCTTACTAGGGGTAGAGGGCAGGGAAGAACATTCTTGGTAAGACAATTACAAATACGGAGATTTTGTATTTGTATGTGTGTGTCCACGAGGCATGCATACGTGTGCGCATGTGTGTACACGTACTGAACATTCATGTTCTTGTGGGGGTCAGAGGGCAAAGTCAGGCATCCTCTGTCATCCTCCACCTTGAGTTTTTTGAGACATCTCGAACTAAACCTAGAACTCCCAGTTTCAGCTAGCCTGGCCAATCAGCAAGCATCCAGGATCTGCCTGTCTCTGCCTCGATGAAACACTGGGGCAGCTTTTATGTGAGTGCTGGGATCCAGACTCAGCATTGTTTCCTCACTGAGTCATCGCCCCTGCCTTAGCCAGGGCTTTTGAAAGGACCTTCACTGCATCAAAACAAGTTCAGGAATGGGGAGCTCTACCGGTCTGTCCGTGTTAAGCCGCCTCGAGGTCTTCCAAGCCCCTGCAGTCTCCACTGTCCCTTATTGAAAGATAGAAATGGAGACTCCCCCTTTCTCCCAGGGCGAGGCCTGGCCCCAGCCTGGCTTCAAGCACTCTGAGAGGAGTGTTTGCCCTGCATGTCCTGCCACTTTGGTTCTCTTCCTTTGTGCCAACCATGCTGAGATTCTGGAGCAGGAATCTCACGTTTCTGTCTTATGGAATAGTTAGAGGAGAAGGCAGAGGTTTTTCAGTATGATGGGAGTGGAAATTGGCCACCCGAGATGCCCAGCTGTCAACACAGGGCGTTTGTGTACCGTGATTGACTTGTCTGCATGACAGAGCTGACAAAGTGGGTTCAGAATAATACAAAAAAGGCTTCCAAAATGACCGCAGTCTTTTTGTTTGTCTGTTTTGTTTTTTGTTTTTTTTTCATCCTGCCTGTGAATTTTACAGGCTTCACCCTAAAAAATTAAGGTAGAGGAGTTTATGGTTTCTAGAATCCTTTTTTTCCCTTCCCTCTCTCCTTCCTTAGCCCCCTCTCTTTCCTTCTTTCCTTTTCTTCTCCTTCCCCTTCTCCGGGCTTTTTCACTCTTTCTCCCCTCCCTTGCCCCTCTTTTCTTTCCTTTTCATTTGATTTGTTGAGAGACAGGTGAGGTGGAAGTTAATGGTAGGTGCCTGTTTATAGAATTTTGTTTTAAATCCCTTAATTGCCAGGGCTGTGGTAAAAGGATATGATTAACTGTGGAAGTGGAAACAAAGGGCTGCTGTTGAACAGTGTTGCAGTGTTGGCATTACGGCTTCCTTTTCTTAAACGTAAACTAAATACGTTTGTGTAAAAGCGTGAGTGGGCATGTGTACACTTCCTTTTGGAGCAAATAGGAGTCAAGCAACAGCTTAGTGTATTTTCACCAAGCTTGGTCATGATTGGCATCTGTAATGCTCAGGTGTTTGGAAATGAACATCTCCTGTCAGAAACTGAGCAGTAATGTCCTTCCGTCTTGCCCATCAAACAGTGTTTCTTTTCTGTAGCCTCAATTCACTCAGTCGGCTTGTAGTTTATCTACTCTTGTGTTATGAGCGTAAAAGTATCAGGGACATTCTGAGGCAGATGCTGCGTCCCTTGACGTTTTCTCTGATGCTGTTCCGCAGAGGCACAGACAATGAGGATGCCACCAAGAGGAAGGTGAACCTGGTCTTTGAGAAAATCCAGACATTAAAGTCCAGAGCAGCAGGGAGCGCACAAGGAAACAATCAAGTAAGTTGTAGAGGTTTTTTGTTTTGTTTTGTTTTGTTTTTATTTTTCAGAGTATGTTTAATGTGAGGTGTGGAGAGGGCTGGTTTCTTCAGCTGTCTGTTGAGAGCGGTAAGGGGGATGCCCCCTCAAGGAACAAGGAGTGCCTCAGAGAATCAGCCTGGCTTTAAACACAGGTTAAATGCCCGAATCCAAAATACCCTAAGACCCCGAACTTCTTTAGTGTTGACACAGTAGATGTGGAGAATTCAACACCTGATCACAGGCAGGGACATGAACACAAACTTGTCATGCAGGAAGCCATTAAAACAATTGTGTAAAATCACCTCTGGGCTCTGTGTATTAGAAATGTATGCGACTTAAACGAATTTTACACTCCCACTTATGTTCATAAAATATCTTACTATATGCATGCAGATATTCCAATCCCCAAATAATAATCCCAAATCAGAACTCCATCCAGAGCCAGTCGTCTTGGAGAAGGTGAGATGACCTGCTGTAGAAACGGAATTTTTTATGCATCAGCTACTCTTTCCTAGCACTCAGCTTGCCTGTGACAGTGCTGTGAGCGTGAGGGTGGTGAGGGGTGTGTGCGCGTGTGTATTCATCTGTATATACTACCATAATTCTGATTTGGGAATTTAAAACTATACACTTTGCTTATGCACAGCTTTCAGGAGCTGAACCTAATTCTTCTTTCCATTAAAAAATATTTTTTGACAGTTTCACATATGCATGTAATGAATTTTAGTCATTTTTCACACCCAATCCTTCTCTCTGATAATTCCTGTTTTGAGACCATGCTGGTCTCAAACTCAGAGACCCATCTGCCTATGCTTCCACAGTGCTGCTGGGATCAACTTTCTCATCTCTTAGCATCAATTTAAAATTTTTTTGGTAAAGCTTTTAAAGTTAAATCATGACTACAATTCTTTTTTTTTTTTTTTTTTTTTTACTTGTATATAACCTTTGGACTTAAGATTGTCATGATGGATTATGAACTTGGCAGTGAGCCAGAACTGGGGAAGTCAGTGTATCCCTTCCGCAAATAAGACGTTTGTGGTCAAAGCGTTCTTTGTGAGAAGGCAGGAAGGCAGGGTGGCAGGGTATTCTGGCTTGAAAGACTGGCACGGACACTATTGAGAATTGTGAGTTGCCATGTTTATGTTTCTTGAAGTAATTTTATGTAGTTGCTACATGAAACCAGGATGTGCGAAGAGCGAGATAGGACGTTTCCATTCTAAGCTACCATGAGAGGCATTTTTATTTTCTTTTGAGACAGAGTCTTACGTGGCTAAAGCCGGCCTTGAACTCTTGCCTTCAGCTCAGTGCTGGGTTTACAGGTATGAACTATCATATCCATTTATAATGTGCTGGGAATGGAACCCTGGGCTTCACGTATGCCTGCAAGTACTCTACCCACAGAATTGCATCCCAGCCTCCATGAATGGATTTCAGACAGACACAAATGCTCTCGGGTTGCAAAAGTTCATTCGTTTTGTTGCTTCTAGAGAGGAGATTAGAGCGAGCCGCAGTCACTGAGAAGCCCTGCTGGCTTGAGGAAGAGAGGGTGAGATTTCTGGCACCATGCACGGTGTCTGACTTTAATTGCTCAGGTTTCTGCCTCTCCCTCTCCCCTTCTCATGTTCTGAACCTGATTCTGTGCTGGCAAAATTGTGCAGTTTTATCTTTTGGGAGTGTGTTAAGCGAGTCTTTAGGAGAGAATGTTAGAGTGTGTTCGTTATGGACTGAGACCATCTTGGAAGCAGCAAAGCAGACGGGCTTTGTTTTTGTTTTTCTTTCTGTTTCTCCTCCCTCCTGTCTTCCCTACTTCCCTCTCCCTTCCTTCCTCCCTTTCCTGTAGTGTATGATTTCTCCCGCTGTGCTGGCTTAGATTCTAAGTTGGCCTGCCTTCATTTTGCTGAAAAAACTTGGCACTTAGGATTTTGCTGCAGAGCTCCGAAGTCGGTGAGAAGCGCCTCTCCTAGGTTTATGATACACAACCCACACCTGGACCTGGGAGTCAAGACTCTGCCTCTTATAGCTTAGATTCCTGTTTTTATCTCTTCGCCTTGCCACTTAGCTGTAGGATTTTAGCCAATTCCTCTTGAGAGCTTCATCCTGTTATCACTTCCATGGTAGAAAGGAAACAAGAGCCCTTGATATTCACCCTCAGATCAGACTTGAGGCCTCCTAACAGACTATTTAATCCATCCTCTCTTAGTGGAAATGCAACAACTAGAAGGAGAAAGCCAATTTGGCCCAAATGCATTTATTTGCACTTGCTGACAGGCCTATGCCGAAGGTGAGGTTGAAAGTCTGGAGTCATGGAGCCTTAGCCCCCAGGGCAAGGTAGGCTTAGAAATGGAGGGTCCAGCTACACACACACACACACACACACACACACACACACACACACACACACACGGGAGCCCAGGGAACTTCATCCAACAGGTGTTTCTTCAACAAGTCCTTTTATGTTGGTTTACTGGGGTCAAACTTAGAGTAAATTGCATGAATCATAACTGCATAGTTGCTGGGTTTTTAACACAGATTTGCATCTGTGTAAATCCTACACAGATCACAAACAGGGTGCTCCCCTCACCCAGAAGATACCCTGTGTGTGCTCTTCACCCTGTCAGCCAAGTCTGCTTTCTTGAGGTAATCCTATTGTGACACCCATCACCTCGAATAGTTTTACTTAAATTTCATGTAGTTATCTGATTGCTGTCTACACACCTTTATTTTTTCAATATTGTGTCAGTGAAGTTCACTAATGTTACATGTGTCAGAAACTATTTTTTATTACATACTAATTGGTGTGTGTATGTGTGGAGTTACTAGCATATTTCTGGTGACTATTTCCTTTTTTTTTTTAAAGATTTATTTATTATTTATACAACATTCTGCCTGTATCTGCCAGATCTCACTATAGATGGTTATGAGCCACTATGTGGTTGCTAGGAATTGAACTCAAGACCATCTTTCCAGCCCTATGACTATTTCTAGCTTGAGATTCTTAGCAATAAAGCTACAGTGGACTTTGAACATTATTGCACACACACTCATTGTAATGGACACACACTCACACATTTCTCTTTGGCGTGTAAGCAGGAGTGAACTTCCAGGACATAAAGCAGGTAGAAGTTTTGTTGTGCATACTGTGAAAAGTGGTGGAACAATTAATACTCTTTCTAGTGATGCACATAAGGCCTGGTTGTTAGGCTGGGACCACCAGGACCCTGCATTCTGTCGCCTGGATTCTGTGTCTGTTCTTCTGCATCAGTTCCATACAGATTGACGGACTGTGTCTTCTGCATAAGCTCTGAAATCTGGTAATGCCTGCCTTCTAACTTCATCCCTTTCTTCGTTTCTTCAAGTTGGCCATTCTGAGTCTCTCACCGTTCCATACAAATGCTAGATTTTTCCAGAGATGGTGTTGGGGTGAGCAGAGATGGAGAGAGGGCTCAAGGGTAAATAGTGGGGTCCTGTAGCGGACTTGGCTCTTAGCACCCATGTCATGTAGTCCACACTGCAACTCCAGCTCTGGAGGAGCAGACACTTCTGGCTCTGGAAGCACATACACACATGCACACATGTGAATCATACCCACATTTAAAATGGCAATAGCAACACTAATAAATCTATAATAAAAAGCCAAGAGTGGACAGGGAGGAACACGGACAGACTCTTGTCTGGGCTTACACTGGATATGTATATCACTTCGTTCAGGTAAACATGAAGCTTCTTCCCATTTATTTGTGTCTTCTGCTTCTCCTGTGTCTACATACTTTCCATTTTGGTGTCTTCACTTTGCAGTTACATTCATTCTTTGTGTGTCTGTGTTTTCTGTCTAAGGCTGGTTTCTTTCGTTCCAGGGAACCATTATATTCTGTCCCATCTTTTCTGCAGGCAGTGGGCTCTCTTGCTCACCCTTCTGTTTAAGGCTCTCTAGTTTGGGAAGTATTGTTTTATCTGATAACTTTAGAGACATTGATCTTTTGGCTTCCATGGCTTCCCTGGAAGGCAGGCAGCATTCTTAGTTCGGCCGAAACCAATACATCTTTTTTCCTGTAGCTGCTTTGATCTTCCATTCTTGGAAGTTTGAATGTGGTGTGCCTGAGTTTAACCTGACTGAGTTCTTGACACTCAGCTCTGAAACACCCTAGCCATTTGTTTTGAATATTTCGTTCACATTCTGCTCTCCTCAAAGTCCAGTTGCATGTATTTTAAGTTTTCTTATGGTCTGTCTGTGTATGTCTGCATGATACACGAGTGTCTATGTGAGTGTGTGTCTCTCTCTGTGTGTTTTTGTCTGTCTGCGTGTGGTTTCATTTGGCATAAATATTCTGGGTCTCTCTTGTTTTTTGTTTGTTTGTTTTGTTTTTGAGACAGCATGTCACTATGTACTTCTGGCTGAACTGGAACTCACTATGTAGACCAGACTAGCCTCAAATTCACCTGCGATCCACCTGCCTCTGCCTCCTGATTAAAGACGTGCACTTTTCTTTTAATATTTCAAGTTCATTAATTTTGTTTTCTGGCTTTTTTTTTTTAAGGTTAAAGGCTTATTCTTTTAAAATATCCTGAAAACACCTCTTTATCCTTCTTTTTCATTTCATATGTGTGTTTGTGGTGTGCATGTGTGTATATGTACGTTCATGTGTGTCTGTGTGTATGTGCGCACACGAATGTTTACAGATGGACATGCACATGGGTGCGTGTGGTGGAGGCCTGATTCGATGTAGACAGTCTTTCTGGAGTCCTTTTTGACAGTAATCTATGGGGCAAGGTCTCCTATCAAACCCCAGAATTCACTGATACTTATTTTACAGAGCTAGCTTGCTCCAGGGATCTTGTTTTCTCTTGTAGCCTAGGTTTCAGGTGAGCCACCTACTGACTCAGCACCCCTGCGGGGTCTGGAGACCTAAACTTGGATCCTTTTGCTTGCATAGGCAAGCATTTACTGCTTAGCCATCACCCTAGCACCCACGGACCAGTCTCTTAAGAGTCACCTAATGAATTCTTAAATTTAAGGTACTGTGTTGCCGTTCTAAAATATCCATTTGACTGTGTTTCTAGTTTCTAACTGGTGTGGGAAACCATCATTTTTCCATCCATTTTGTTCATAGTTTTCTGTGTTTTAAAGAATATTACTTATAGCTCCTTTGCTCTCCTTTTCTGGGTCTGTGTCTTTACTCTGCTGTGCATTCTCTGTCAATGATTGGTCAGTTTTTTCCTGCTTCTTTAAACATCCAGGATTTTCTAATTGCATGCTTGGTAGATGACAGCTTACATATGTACTGGAATTTCCTCCCCAGAAGTAAATCATATGTAGGTCACTTTCATTCTGTAGGTGCAGTTGTTTTAGGCTTTGCTGAGGTTGGGTCCCATCAGGTTTACCTGTGTCCTATGGCATGTCCTGTCTTCCTTCCTCAGACCTCAACTGAATGCCAAAATGTTAACCAAGCTTTGTCTGTTTTGGCTGCATTAGGATAGGACTCCATTGCCTCCCCAGCTCAGCACAACCTGTGAAGTTTGGTCGACTATTTTCCTCTTAGACACCCTTTTAAAATTTAAATTTATTATTCTTTTTATAATTTATTCACTTTACATCCCAGTTGTACTCTTAGACACTCTTTTCCGATGAACTTTTAGAATCTCGCCTTGCTTACAATATAGCTTAGGAATCATCTAAGAAATAAAAAAGGTGGGGTTTTTTTTGTTTGTTTGTTTGTTTTTGTTTTGAAAAGTTCTTAAAAATAACTTTTTCTGTGGTTTTTACCTTCCTAATACCCTTATCCCAAGATTGGTCTTTTGCTTACAGTATTGTGATTTATTTTGTGGATTGAGCATTGGCCCTCATGTATGCTGGGCAATTATATGTCCTAATGGATTACGTGCCCAGCCTGGGAGAGTGGGTGTACCTAGAGCTATTTTAAGCTCAGAGACGACTGACTAGAGATGACGGAAGTTTCCCTTGCTCTTGTGATCCTCTGGTACACTTGTTATCGTGGATGGATAGTGATACATGATTATCATCTAAATCCCATAACTCACTCTGGGATTTGCTCTTGATAGTGTACATCGTATTGGGATATAAGTGTGTGTATGTGTACAGGTGTGTGTGTGTGTGTGTGAGAGTACTTGTTCATGTATGTGCACATACATACAGAGTCCAGAGGTCGACAGTTACTCTCCACCTTTTTTTTTTTCTCCCTCAAATTTGATCATTCGGAAAGCAGAGGTAGGAAGATCCCAAAGGTCATCCTTGGGCCTTGAGATACACACTCAAGCAGGAAAACACATGTTCTAAATTTAGCACCTTAATATTTCCTAATATATCTGAAAGATGTTCAATAAGTCTACCACCTTCCTCAAGTGTTAGTCGTGGTGGAGATCTGTGAAATAGGCCCTTGGATTGTGGTGAAGGATATAAGATAAATCATGAGGCAGCTTCACAGTTAACTGTGAGGGAGGGCTCCGAGAAGCCGAGGCTCCATTGAGTCTTAGATGGCCAGCTCTGTCTCATCCGTTATCTCCCCGATGGGGGAGGAGAATAAAGAGAAGCATCTCAAGCATTTAACTGGGGCTGTCTTTGTAATTAATTGCAGGTGTTGAATTCTCCCTCCGATGTCAACGAGCTACTGGATCAGAAGAACAAATTGATCCTCGAAGTGTCTGAACTACAGCAGCAGCTGCAGCTGGAGAGGAAGGTATCCACTGGCTCTTGTTATTTTTCCCATCTCAGTCATGGTTGATAAAGGTTCTTAAAAAGACATTGAGATGTCCAGGTGAGGTGAAAGTCATTTCCTCCCCTAAAAGAAACATTCTTCTCATCCCTGAGCACATTCCTTTGAATCTGGTGGCTACTAGCCAAAGAATTTTTTAAAAAAGCCAGAGCATACAGACACTGTTTGCTCTGAGCAAATGAAATACCGTTAGAGGCAGGCAGAGCAACAGGAAACTAAGCATATTGTTCTTACTTAAAGCATTTAAACTTATGTAATAGAAAACAGCAAACTGAGGTCTAGCTGTGTTTGTGTTTTTATTTGAAAAGTGTTCTGTTCACTAACTATTTCATATTCTTTCTGAGGCTTCTAAACCTTAATGACATGGTTTGATTAGGTTGTTTAATAATGGTGGAACAAGTGCATGGGATCCATTAGTGTCCACAAGCGGGTTCTGGGCTGGGGATGTGGATCACTGGTCAAGTGCTTGCTCAGCACGCATAAAGGCCTGCTTCTGGCCTCAGCACCTCAGGACCCAGGCGTGACAGTACACTCCTGTACTCCCAGCACTTGGAAGGTGAAGAAGATCAGGGAGTTCAAGCTCATCCTTGGCCGTATAGCCAGTTTGCTGTTAGCCCGGGCTACAGAAAGCCGTGCCACAGACAGACAGGGAGACGAGGGTGGTGGTAGCTCAGTACTGACAGACAAATCATACTGACTCCTGTAGAACCATCAGAACATCAAGGAGGAGAGAGAGAAAATGAGAGAAGACTTGGAAGAGCTGCGAGGCAGGCACCAGAGCCACGTAGAGGAGACGGCCACGCTTCGGCAACGGCTGGAGGAGAGTGAAGGCGAGCTGAGGAGACACTTGGAAGAGTGAGTATCTGGCGGAGCTGTGCCTTCCTGGCCTTGTGAGTTCTGCTGCCAGAACCTTCTGTTCTTTTCTCGCCTCCTTCCCTCCAAGTGTTTGTCAAGGTCATTCACCTTCCTTTTCTTTTTCCCTCTCAAAAGTGTGCAGCTGGATCTGTAAGCGGGGAGGTTAATAATTATCAAAACCCTCTATGTACCTCGAGTGTGTTTCTTAAAGCCTCAGCTCCAACAGGGGACCCTCTAGCAGCTGAGTGAGAAGCAGTGTGCTCTCAGGGGTGATATGAAGTGACTGAGGTTTCTACTGGGAGCTCTTAGCGTGAGACCTAAAACTAAGGGTTCCAGGAGCCTCAGCTCAGCCTCCAGAATGCATTAGCCTGGTTCACAGCCTCCCAGCTTTGAACACTTTCTCCAGAATAGGCGGGTGCTCTGTGATCCATACACTTCTGCCCAGTTTGTAGAGAGGAAAAGTAACTCCAAGGCTATACCTGCAATATTATCCTGTGAAATTTGGTGGCAAGAAATCTAACATCAAGGTCTGATTTTCTTTCTGGAAACAGTTTGCAAACACACCCAAATTCTAGCACTTCATGGTCTCTTTCTGGTAGGAATGTCCCTCAAATATGTCCCATTTCACTGGTTTGAGGTCTCATCTGACACCTTGGCCAAATTAGACTGCAGACCTGAGGAGGCTTCTTGGGGCTACACGTGACCATGGGACAGTCTGAAAGCCTATGGTCAGACATGGTGAGGACTGAGGCTCTGAGGAGCCTCTCTGATGGACCTCCCCTGTTTCTCTGCCAGGCTCTTCCAGGTGAAGATGGAGCGAGAACAGCACCAGACCGAGATCAGAGACCTGCAGGACCAACTGTCAGAAATGCACGACGAGCTAGACAGCACCAAGCGGTCTGAGGACAGGGAGAAGGGAGCCCTGATCGAGGTGAGGGGGCTATAGGCCCCGTGTCAGCCTCATGTGCCTCAGAGGATGGGGCCTAGGGGACTGCATGCTACAAGCCGCTTTCTGCTCTGAGCATTTGTTCCACTGGCTCCTACATTTAGATTCCATGAGGCCGTCATCATCTTAGGAAAACTTTCCATCATGCTGAAAAGTAGGAAGAATAGTGAGTTAGAGGCTGGGAGGATGGCTCAGTCGGTAGAGTGCTGGCTGGGCAACCAGGAGGACCTGAGGTTAACCCCCAGAAACCATGGAAGAAATAACTGGACAGGTAGTCCTAATGTACGGGACATAGAGATGGACAGATCCCTGAGGTGTGCCAGCCAGCCAGTCTAGCCCATTCAGTGAGCCCCTAGCCCAGAGACCCTGTGTCAGAAAATGAGGTGGATGGCACCTGAGGGGTGACATCAGAGGTGACTTCTGGCCTACACCCTGCCCATCCCCACTCACATCCTACAGTCACACACACTCATGGGCACACACTCACTTATATTCTCTCTCACAAACTTAACACACTCAAACACGTAAACACACACTCTCATATACTCACACAATATGAGCACACTCTTACACACTCACAGATGCTCACACTCATATACTCACACACTCATGCAGGGAGAATAGTATGTTAACATTGATCAATTCTCAACACAGATCAAGGAGTTGTCAAAGTTTTGCCATGTTCCGGCATCAATTTTTATGCTCATCTCTTCATCTTTGAAGTAAATTACAGATAATTTGCAGTATTTTACTTTTTTTTTCCTTTTAGAATTTAGGGAACTTTTTGACATAGTTGAAGTACCCTCATGGTACCTGACACATTTACGGTTTCTATAATATAAATATAATGAGTCTGAGTTCTCCACCCTTGTTATCTTAGTCTATTTAACAGTTGATTCGGTGAGTTCAGGGCTAGTCTGGGGTACATGAGCCCCTCCCTAAAACAAAATTTTCCCTAAGGAGAAAGTCTCAGAGATGATGTCACTGGAGGACTTACGTGTTTCAGTGGCATTTCACCTCAAGGCCCAGAGGGCAGAAGATGTCCCTGTAGTCTGTGCTGACATGCCCTAGGCTCCATTCACCCCCTCTTCTCTTCATCCACTCCATCTCGCTCTCATTTTTTGTATTTTCTTCAACAGACCACCAAGTGCTATCTGTCATCTTTGCTTCTTTCTCCATTTCATTTGCAGCATACTTCTGAATGACAGAACCAAAAAATAATTTTCACAATTTAAATGAATTTGAAGTGTTGCCATATTTTTCTAAAGTGAAGTAATTCTAAGATGAACTGCATGCTATTTTAGTTTTTGAGATAGGCTGTCATGTAGCCCAGGTTAGCCTCAAACTCGATGAGGATGACCTTGAGCTTCTTGCCTTCACCTCGTAAGTGCTGGACTTGCAGATGGGTACCGCCATTCCCAGTTTATGCTGTGCTGGGGATCGAGTCCCAGGCTTCAGGTATCCACACAAGCATTCTATCCACTGAGCCACACTGCCAGCCCATGTCTTTAGCTCCCTAACTTACCCTACTATTTATTCTGAATTTGATTTAAGATAGATTTGTAGGTTTGTTTGTGAGACTCTGGCTTTGATGTGATCAGGCCACAGCTGGAATGGGAACAGAGCACATCTCTTCTTGAACGCTGCCCTGCATTTGGGGTCCTAGTTGTTTGTCTCTTTGCTGACAAGACCTGTGTCATCTGCAGAAGGAAGGAGGTAGAGAAGTTGTCGGGGATTATGTCTTCTGTGTTTTGCCGTGCTTCCAGGAAATCCCTTATTGTTTTCCTCTGACTTTTCAGCAACTTTTAAAATATAGTCTCGTTCCCACAGTACTAATAAAGAAGATCCCATTTCCTAGTCACTTTCAATTTATTCTTTGTATCTTAATAAGAAGTATCCTGGAGAAATTTGATAATAGATTAGAGTTGGGGCCAGGTTTCCATGACTTTTGCCTGAGAACAGACTCTTAGACACAATGAACAGTGAACATGGAAGTTTTGACTCTCTGAAAGCTGCTGATGCCCGGATGCTTGGTGCCTCTGTAGCAGGCCATATTTTTCATGAAACCCCTCTGTCTTCCTGCTGTGGTCCTGGAGACTGAAGCCAAGGCCCCTGTGCAAGATACACGCTGTGCCACTGGCCCCACCCTAGCCGAGAAAGTCATCATTTTTTGTTCAGTAGCATCAGGCCTCTTCATGGACTTTGTAAAATAACACTAGGAGGGAAAAAAATACCTGGACATAGTGACACATGCCTTTAATGCCGGCACTTGAGAAACAGAGGCAGGTGTTTCTTTGTGAGTTAAGGGTTAGCCTGGTCTACTTAGTGAGTCCCAGAACAGCCAGAGCTACATAGTGAGCCTCTGATGGGGGTGGGGGGGAAAGGTTTAAAGGAAAGCAGTGTAGAGATAGTTGTTTTCTTAGGCTAAGAACTGAAGAATACGGAAGGTCTATTATTTGTAGAATTCTTGGGTTTGTGAACCTTTTCTTCTTTTTCTTCTTCTTTTTTGCCCATTCTGGTGGCATCAGGTCCACATGCAACACCTGTCCAAATGCCATCCAGGTGGGTTTTCTGATGAACAGATGTTGCTGACGGGCCTGCAGAGCTGAGAGGTGGCCTTTTCCCACAGAGTCTCCTGGGCTCTTCCTCCTGGCATTCAGGTCTGTCGGCCTCTCTGAAATGTTTGGTGGAGATAGCTGGTGCCCAGACACTTCTAAAGTAAACATGAACCGTGATACTTCTAACATTACGTACATTCTGGTAAAAGCAGCTGAAAATGTCATTGTTCTTGCCAGCCATCTTATACTTTCTATCCCATTGGTTAGATCAGTGTTTATAAGAAAGAAAATCCCAGGCATTTGATTTTACCAATGAAGATTCAGGAGCCAGGTGCTGGGGTGAAAACCTGCTAGCTCAGGGAGGCAGAGAAAGCACCCAGCTGAGCTTCCTGCTCAGCCAGTGTCCCAGAAGGAAAAGGCCCCTTCTCCACACTATTTTAAATGCTCTTTATCTCAGTGTCCCTTCTTCCTGTGTTTACTTATGTTCGTTCCCTGTCAACTGGTTGTGTGTTCTGCCTCTTGACCTGTGTTTAACTTTATTTAGCTCTTGCTTACAGAAAGCTCTTGGGTTAAAGGTGTGTGCTAGGGCTGAGCCACACCACAACTAGAAACTAGGTTTTTCCATTACACAGTCTCGGTGTTCACAGTGGGATCAAATATCCTGCAACATTCAACCTTCCTACTGCTGAGACCTTTTAATGCAGTTCCTTGTGTGGTGGTGCCTGCCAACCACAAAATCATTTTTGTTGCTATGGCTGTAATTTACTACTGTTATGAATCAGAACATAAATATCTGATATTCAGGATATCTGATATGTGACCCCTGTGAAAGGGTTGTTCAAACCCCAAAGGAGTCTCTTGACCTACGATTTGAGAACTGCTGTTTCAGAGAAGGGGGGGGAGGCTGAATTCTGTTGGCCACCTGCATTATAAAACCTTCTTCTACCCCTGCAATGGGTGTGGTCCAGGTGTAGTTTTCTTCATTTGGGCATGCAGGACGTATGTCTCTGCGGTCAGGGCTTGCAGCCCTGGGACATCCTGGTGCCCATTTCCCAGCAGCCCACTGTTAGGATCCATGGTTGCTGCAAAGGATAGCAGCCCGATGCCAGGTGCACTTCCTTGCTCTCCTCCCCCTCCTTCCCGTGGTTTTCGGTTCTGGCTGTGTCTCCCCCAACCCCACACCTTTCCAGCCTTTTCCAGTCAAGCAGCACTCTGTTATGTTTGCATGTAATGCTTAGGCCACACACAGTGTCACTGTTCAGCTTTCTGGGTGGTTTTGTGGTCAGGTCTGTTGTCACTACCTGGGAAAAAGAAAGTACTAGGTCCTATTCAGGCCACACCCTTGGCTCTAATGTTTATCATCTGTGGGATCTGAGTGTGTCTGAGAGTGATAGACAGGCTGGCAGGCGCGAGAGATAAAGATAGATAGATAGGTGGCTAGATAGATAGATAGATAGATAGATAGATAGGAGATAGAATTCACTGTGTGTATCTGAGACAAATCTAGAAGTTGCCAAGCAGCCTAGCTAGGTGGCTGCCAGGGATCCCCAGGGATGCTTGCCTCTGTTTCTCCAAGCTGGGATTAAACGCACCTGCCATCGGACTGACTTCATTTATTTCTTTATTTCTTTTTAAGCAAGTGTGTTCTGGGGACAGAACTGGGGTCCTGGTAGTAGCAAGGCAAGTACTTTTCTCACTGAGCTGGCTCCCCACGCTCAGATGTGTGATGTTGGAGGTGTGTCAGCCCCTCAGAGCTCCAGGCTTTCTCATTTATGCATGGATCTTTATCTCTTTAAACAGTGATTTGTTTGGACTTTTAGAAATGGTATTACTCTCAAACAATTAAGTGCCAAACATAATCAGCCTTTCTAGACCTTCCTTTATCTGCCCTTCGTCTACACTAGGGTTTTTTGTTTGATTGTTTTAGTTACATTTCTTTATTTTTTAAATTTATTATTGCAGCCAGGCATGGTCGATTATGCTTATAATTCCAGCACTCAGGGAGGCAGAGGCAGGCGGATCTCTGAGTTCAAGGCCAGCCTGGTCTACAAAGTGAGTCCAGGACAACCACGGCTAGACAGAGAAACCCTGTCTAGAAAAACAAAAACAAAAACAAGTTATTGCATTTATTTATTTATTTTGTGGGTGTGGGTATGGGCGTGCCCTGTCATTTCTCTGCTTTAGCACATGGGTGCTGATGCTCACACTAAGTGACCAGGCTTGAGAGCTAGCACCTTTCCATGCTGAGCTGCCTCACAGGCCCCACCATAGGTGTGAATGGGCGCTTCTTTGTTACACCTGGCCCATCTTGACTGCATGAAGGCTTGGAAAGCAGTGATCTAAGTAGCCACAGTCCTCTTGGTTTGTTTGGTTGTTTGTTTGTTTTGTTTTGACTGTAGTCTCCAGTCATTCTCATTCTTTCTACTGGATACTTCTTTATGTTTTGAGTTTTTTCTAGTTTCCTTTCTCTTCTTTATTTGATATAATTAAACCTTCATGTGTTAAAGGGACATTTCAGAAACTGTATGTGCCTGTTGAGTGATATAGCAAGGTATAATCTGATTGGATTTGTGCAGCAGGGCCCACTTAAGCGACAGCCCAGCCCCAGATAACACCCTGTCAGGGTAGAATGAACTGCGCAGATATGTTTTGCAGGAGATAAGGGTGGGAAGAGGAACTGCCCTATCTAAGAACAACTGAAAAATGTGTGAGAGTAAAAGCAGGAAGGGGTGGCTCTAAGGTTGCTGGCAGGAGGCGCCATCAAGTCCCAGAGAGGTCGCCAACGGCAACAGTGATGGGAGAGTTCTGCTCCTCTTCAAAAAGAGACAGGTAGGGACAGCCAGGAGGTCCCTTTACTGAGTGTTAGGATGAGGAACTCTTGGGTCTTTGGGAGCCGTCTCTATGCTTCATCAGAGCTCATCACTGCCTGCTGGTGAGGTTATGGTCAGGGTCGCCACAGCATGAGATGTGCTGCATTAAAGGGTCGAAGCCTTAGGTTGGTTGAGAACCACTGGCTTAGAGGAAAGGAGAGACTTCCCTTGTCAGCTCTTTTTAAGTGAAACTCATTGCTTTGTAGGTAACCTGAAAAAATAATTTAAGGTTGATGCCATGGCTCAGTGGATAAAGGTGCTTGCTGGGGAAGCCTGGCAACCTGAGTTCTTGGCATGAATGTGAAAATGAAAGGAGGGGATGACTCTGCAGATTGCCCTCTGATTTCTACACATAGGCTGTGGCGTGACCACAGCACGCCTCTGACACGTTGCTCACACACAAACACACACACACACACCCACCACACTCACACATTCATATACACACTCACACAATTAATTTTAAAAATTGATCAAACGGTTCTCCTTTCTCCACAGTGACACACCTCTTGAGTGGCAAGTAGGGGCCCAGTGGCATCTTCTCTGAATCCCCAGGAGCTCAGTAGAACGATTAGGGTGTGTTTGTAATCAGAGGCAGGGTGAAGGGAGAACTGACAGAACCCTGGCCTCTTGAGACTCCACCCGTACCAAGCAGGGTGACTTATTCACACCTAGAAGTAACAGTGCCGCTAATGCATTTGATCTCTGTCTTAAGCAGAGCTCTGTCTTTCCTAGACGCTCCTCTCTCTCTCTCACTAAGAATATACGATGAACACAGGCTGGGGCTGTAGCTTGGTTGGTGTGCACGAAGCTCCTGGCTTCTGCTCTCAGCCCTGCATGAAATGGTCATGGTGGCACGTGCCTTTAACCCCAGCACCCAGGAGACGGAGGCAGGAGGATCAGAAGTTCTTCTGATTCTGTTTTGGGAGTTTGAGGCCAGCCTGGAATACACGAAACTGCATCTGAAACAAACAAAACAAGCACAGAGAAAACTCAAAAGATGTAGATTGCAGGGTTAAAAGTGCAAACCGTTTCAGAGGAAGGACGGATGTGACTGTTCAGGAAGGAGATTGTGGGGAGACTTCTTAGAGGAGGCCCCCACATTGTGTCTGGGTCTTCTTAGAGTTTCTTAGGTGACACCTTAGAGCCTGCCTTTGTGAGCCTGCTTGACAGAGCGGTGCTTACAGCAAAGGGGCCAAGGAGCTAACCTGGACAGAGAAGGAGAAGGAGGCCCTAGATGTTCATCACTGATTCCACACCTGGGAAGGATGGAGTGAGAGAAGTCACAGTGGCTGAAACAGGTGGTGCCACTTACAGAGTCAAGGAAAGGAGGCAGAGAGGAAGGCTCATAGTGGTTCCTCCTAAACCTGAAATCGCACTTAATCTGAGGCTTGTGTGGAAGGCTCAAAGCTCACGGCAGGTCACTGGGGTGCTAGTGCAGGGAAAAGATGAGAAGCAATTCAAAAAACCAAACCAAACCAAACAAAAAACAAAACAAAACAAAACAAATCCTGGAAAAAGGTCAAGGAGCTTGTCAAAAAAAAGGAACAAATGTATAATTGCATTCTTAGGGATATCTTTGCTTTTGGGAGGGAGAAAAGCCACATGTGATCCTTGTGAGAAAGCGGCTGCAGGGAAGGAACGTACCGCCCTGTGATTTCAAGGGAGAGAGGTTTTTCAGGAGACAGCGGGAGGCCCCCAGAGGAGTCAAGGAAATGGTGCTAGGGAGATGAGGATGTGCGGTGGCAATTTTAATTGCCAATTTGACAAATGTAGAATGACCTGGCCGGGGATCTCAATGGAGGAATTGTCGCAGTAGGTTGTCCTGTGGGGGAGTACCTGGACTTCCGATTGAGGTGGGGGGATCCACCATGGATTTGGGCAGCACTGTTTCATGGAATCATTAGCTTTCTTCAAAGCTAACTGAGCGAGCAAGCACACTGGCAGCATGGGACTGTTCATTTCTCTCTGCTGTTGACTGTGGATGCGATATGACCAGCTACTTTGAGTTTGTGCCTGAGTTTCCCTCAGTGATGGACAATAACTGTGAACTGTGGGTCAGTGAGCCTTTCCCTCTTCTGAGTTGCTTTGGGCAGGGTGCTTTACCACAGCAACAGAAATGAAACCAGAATAGGAGGACACTCTGTGATCTTGTCTTGGTAGAAGAGCCACAAAAGCCACATAGCAGGTGATTAAGGTGAACAGAAACCACAGTTTTGAAGAAGTTTGGTGGCAAAGGTGACAGGTAACCAAAAGTTGAAGAAATGGGAAGGAATGTGGGGTAGCGGCAGCACTTTGGTGGGGGCTTTGAGTGGAGGAAAGTCCTGGTGCACAGTGAGGAGCGAAGGTGTGGGAGTCCTGGCGCCACGGCTTCCAGGACAAAGGGAGACCAAGCCTCTGGCAGGACCTGCTCATGGTCAGCAGGACACCTTTGGGCGTGGGGAACATGGTTTGAAGTGGAAACCTTGGTCCTTGTTTCCTGACTCTTTGTGAGCTCTTGACAGTGAAGGATGGAAAATGTGAGTGCAAGTCTCTACTCAGGTGAGAAAGATAGAAAAAGTTGCCCTGAGCACTAGGAGCAGGAACAGGGTCACATGCAGCACCCTGCAAGGTTGGTAGCAGACGAAGTGAGTAACCTCAGCTCTAGGGCGACAGTGCTGTATAAGGGCTGTAGCAGGGACACTGAGCCATGGCACAGATCTGAAATGAGCTGTAAAGAAACACGTCAGGCTGGGGTGGTCCCTGGGTAGACTGCTTGCTTAGCATGTACATAGCCTTGGGTTCAACCCCTAGAACCACATCTACAAGTTTCTGTGGTGCGTGACTGCAATCCAGCACTTGGAAGGCGGAAGCAGAAGGAGCAGAAAGTCAAGGTCATCTTTAGCTTCATAGCAAGTTTAAGGCCAGCCTAGCCTACATGAGAACCTGTCAATAAAAGGAAAAACAAAACAAGAAACAACACTCTCCCAAAGCAATGACAGTGAACACGGTCCCAGGAAATCTCAAAGAAACTAAAGACTCAGGGGCCGGGGAGATGGTCCAGAGGTTCAATTCCCAGCACCCACAACTGTCTATAACTCACAACTGTCTATAACTCCAGTTTCAGGAAATCTGACACCATATCACAGATATAATGCAGGCAAAACACAACGCACATAAAATAAAAAAGAAATTACTAAGAAACTGAGACACGAGCCTCAAGGTAATGATGGCTCTGAGAAAGGCAAACTGTCTCAAAATGGGTGTGGTATGGGAAGGAGAAAGTGGGTGGGACGGGTTAAGTGGCCATTCACCTGGTGGTCAGTCTGAAGGGGCAATGCTGGGCCACTGGCAAAGATGTCTGTTCTCCAGCTCTGCAATTTTCCTCCTTTTCTAGGAGCTCCTTCAGGCCAAACGGGACCTTCAGGATCTGTTCATTGCCAAAGACGAGCAGGAAGAGCTCTTGAGAAAGCGGGAGCGTGAACTGACCGCCTTGAAGGGCGCCTTGAAGGAGGAGGTTTCCAGCCATGACCAGGAGATGGAGAAGCTGAAGGAACAGTACGATGCAGAGCTGCAGGCCCTCAGGGAGAGTGTGGAGGAGGCAACCAAGGTGAGCCTACCACCCACAGAGGGGGTTGAGATGCAGCTAGATGCAGCTTTGCTAGCTCTCCCATGCCACTTCCCCCTGGCTCGGTCAGATCATGGCAATGAGTTTGTTGACAAGGGACAGCTTGATGGCTTAGCTTCTGTACATTTTGAGTCTGTCAGCTTGAACGTCAGTCAAGACTAAATGCTTTTTTGCAAAGGGTGAGATTTTAAAGCGTTGAGTAGACTTGGCTTTGTGGAGTCCCTCCTGGGGGCATCCTCAAGGCTCAGCTCCTGAGGTACCGTGTGACTGTGCTCATGCACAGAATTGCAGACAGGACCTGGATTTCTGGAACCCTTTATCTCACCCCAGCTGCTTCCTTTGGGCTTTGTTCAGTCTTCCGTTAGATAATTCGTGTTCTTTTCTCAGCAGAATTGAAAGAGGGCTAATTGGCCAAATTGCCTCAACTCTTCCATGATAAGTTTTCCCCTTAATTGAATTCTTGGCTCTTATAAATAGGTTGTAAATTGTGTGGAAGTCTTTTGGTGCAGGGCGCACGTTGGCTGTTGAAGGGAAAAATACTTTGAAATACCATGCCATCTTTAGGGAAGGAGAGTTACAGAGTGTACACTTTTTCAGTGCCTGAAACAAAGGGTAAAAGTGCTGGGGAGAGAACTCTTCATAGTCTGCAGTGATGACAGTGGCAGCTCCCCACCCCCAACCCTGCTTAGCCTTATGGTGGTTCACTGATTTTCAATGATGTCATGATAATTGATAATGACAAGAAGTGAAAGATAAGTTTGCTTGTTATTACAACAGGGAAGTCTGGGAAACTGACTATTTGGGGTTATTATAACTTTGAGATACTTAAAAAGGCCCCTTGTTGGTTTGGCCCCTGACCTTTAGATTTGATTTAATTTGAGGGGGGCTGGACAGAACTGACTTAGTTGTCCCTGAGCTGAGGGGAAGTCTCTGGGTTTTGCATCTTTGCATCTGGACAGTGGCCCTGTGTCCTTGCAGTTGTCCTCAAAGGCTGCCGGCTCAAGGGATTTGCCTTTGAGCACACCATGTTTTTTTATCACTTTTAGAGCTCACATCAAGCACAGGTTTAATGTGGAATATGCTGGGAGACTCATTCGGGGGTATTAGGGAGCACTGCTTGGGCTTGTATTTGTAGTCGTTTGACTAGATGATGAATCTAGTACAGTGTGTAGAATGGAGGCTGCTATTTAGTTGGAAACTTCTAGGGCTGCTGGCACAGATGTGTAAGTGGGGAAGGAAAACATGACAGGCAGAAGAATATGTCTTTGTTGTATAGAGTTGAGGATAGCCAGTAGAGACCCAGGCTATTGATTGTGTTGTGACTTTTCTGCTTACAGATTTTTTTTTTTTTCACTAATTCACAAATAACTGGGGATGGAGAGAAGGCTCAGTGTTTGGAGCACTTGTTGCTGAGTTTGATTCCCAGCACCCACATGGTGGCTCACAGTCATCCATAACTCCATTTTCATGGAATCCACTGTCCCCTTCTGACCTCCATAGGGATCAGGCATGGACTTGGTACACATACATACATGAAGACATTTATACACATAAAATAAAATAAATCTTTAGAAAAGATAGACTCATGGAAGTCTATGTAATAAAGAAAGGGTAAGTTAGTTGAGACTTATCATCTCTGCAAGAGAATACAGGAAGCTGAGCCAAAAGAGCTCCCCTCCCCCTTATGTGGGCTAGACTGCCCAAGACCGTATTCTACGTATTCTACGTCGTCACCTGTATCTCTCCCCAGAAAACAATGATTTCCAATTGGTCTTTGCTAAAATATTTTCCTGGCACTCCATTGTCCCTGGCTTAAATTCAAGGTTGTTTATGACTGAAGGTGACAGAAGTCCTTTCTCTTGAAGGACTCTCCTCTCTCTCTGTTGTTTTTCCCTTGTTTGCCTATAAGGAATGGGCTGCCTGCCACTTCCCGGCCTTCCCCAGTATCCTCTCACCTCCGGGTTTCTACTGTACCCTGGGTTCCCGTCATACCCTGCGGTAATGCACGCTCTCGCCTGCCTCCTCTTTCAGGTTGGCTGCTTAAGTACAAGGGCTGTTTTTAGCCAGACCCTTTCTTTGTGTTGAGATGAGGAGCAGCAAACTCAAGTGCTTCTGAAGCCAAATAGGAAGCACCAATGGGTGGAGCTATGAGTGCCGGGAGGGTGGTAGCAGGGGTTGATGTGGAGAGGGGTAAAATGCAGAGTGTGCCCTTTAGCTCTAGTGGCCGGCTGCTCCTCTGAGCCAGCCAAGCTGGTCCACACCGTTAGATTGTTGAGATTTTTATTTTCTTTTCAGAATTTTATACACGAGGGTATGGTATGGACATAAATTCTACTCCTTTCTCCAACTTGTCCTATGTTCCCCTGACCATCCTCTCTTGAATTCACAATCTCTTGCTCTGTAATTATTATTGTTACACACATCCACACACAACATACTGAGTCCGATTGGTGTTACCCTATGCACATGTGTTCAGGGCTGACCACTTAGAACTGGAAAATCTGTTAGGAGACTGTCCCTGGAGACAATGGATTCTCTCTGCTCAGTGGTTATTAACTGTCCATAGCTGTTCATCCAGGAATGGGACCTTGTTTTCACATTGTATTGACTAGTGTGGGTTTATGTAGGTAACCTTGCTGTGAACACAGATGCAGAGTCCCTGGCATGAGAAAGCACCATCTCACAGCAGTCACCCTTGCCCCCGAGCCGGAGGAGTTGAGGTGTTGTACAGATGTGCCAGTTGGAGCTGGGACACAGTCATTTATTCTCTGCCTTTTGACCAGTTACGGATTCCTGTTGTAGCCTCCATTGCTGGAAAACAAAACCAAACCTTATTTGCTAAGCCATAGGAGCTGTGCTCATCCATGGGTAGAAAGATAGGTGTTTCTAATACCACGGGAGACTGTGTGAGTTTAGGAAATGGCCAGGAGTAGGTTCTCCTGTTTCGACTTTTTAAGGGTGAGTTGGCTTTCTGCATGTTGATGTGAGCCTCCAGACTTTTAAGTGTTGCTAAAACAAACAACTCCTCAAATAACAAACATAGCCCACATTCAGGGCAGGGGTCTGTAGTTCTAGTCCGTGAGCTCAGCACATTGCCCTGAGGTCACAGCTGTAGTGTCGTCAGCGTCAGACAGCAGAGGACACACTCCCTCCCAGATTGGGCCATGTCCTTGCCACTGATTTCCCTAGGTTTTCTCCCGTGGCTCACAGTGAAGGAGATTTGTGGAGGGTTCCACTGCTGTGAGAATTCTTGTGCAGTTTCTGAAAGAGTATTCTGAGTGGGTTTGCATTTTTTGGTAACTTTGTTTCTAAAAGTGTCTGCTGAACAAACATGACACAATCTTTTTTTGTTGTTGCTTTTTGTTTTTGGTGTTTTCAAGACAAGGTTTCTCGCTTTGTAGACCAGGCTGTCCTTGAACTCACAGAAACGGGTCTGCCTCTGCCCCTCTGAGTGCTGAGATTACAGGTGTGTGCCCCTGCAGCCAGCTGACACAATCTTTTATCACATCTATTTGTGTGTGGGAAGGGGCGTTGACGCCTGCCGTGGCAAGTGTATGGCCAGAGAACAACTTCTGGGAGATAGTTCTCCCCGTCTTCCATAACTAGGAATAGAACTTAGGTCCTCAGGCTTGGCAGCAAGCACTAGTTCACTAGTATTCGGCCTTTCATCTGTCCCACAGTAAGGCCTCATCCTAGCTAGTGACTGACTAAAAAGCGACATTTCCATAGGAAGTAAAAGGCATGACAGTGCTTGTTTCTCTGGAAGGTCTTAGGCAAGAGCCCAACCTCCTCTTGCCAGTTTTTCTGACTTTTGCCACTGCCTCAAGCCAAACCCTCTAAAAAGCTGTTTATCACTGCCAAGTACCAGGCACCGTATCTGGCCTGAGCCCGGGCACTGAATGTCTTAAATTACTGGAACACTTGGTGAAACTGGAGAATTACATTAAGAACCTTTTACTGGCGTTCCAAACAGATCCTGGGTAAAAAAAAAAATTTTTTTTCATAGATAGAAATAGCCATGTGGCTCAGCAGACAGGAATTCACCATGCCTTGGCTGTGTGGGGTTTCCTGGCTCAGCAGGGTGACCAGAGCCCTCTGCAGAACTATGATGGGTCCGGCTGTTGTGCAGCCTGTCCCCTGGCCCTTCTGTTGGAGAAGGGTCTGCATAGGTGGTTAGCAGGTAGTTTCTGTGAGTCTTCTAAAGAGCTACCCAGGACTTGTCTCCTTGTTTTCCTATACATTTCTCTGATAGTTCCTTTTTAGCCTTTTCCCATTTTTAAAAAGGAAATGTCCTCTTTCTACTTTGATTTGATGGGATGGCTGGATTCAGGGGATGGTGGCTGTGTGTGTGTGTGTGTGTGTGTGTATCATTGCCATTCTGGGAATACAATGAAGACTGTCCAACATCACAGTGGTGATGATGGTGTTGGCTTCTCTTTCTCATCTCTAACCTTCCCTCCTCTATCAAGAGTGCAGAAGGGAAATAGTTTCTTAAGCTTTCTTAGAGCACAGGGTCGGCTCAAATCCAGCTTCCTCAAGAGAGGCAAAAGAGATGGCTCAGTGAGCGAAGCACTTGTGTAAGAATGAAGACCTGTTTGCTCTCCAGAACCATGGAAAAATATTGGGAATTGTTGTGTGTGCTTGGAATCTCAGTGCAGGGGGAGGTGGGAAGAGACAGATGTCTGGGTCTCCTAGGCCGGGAAGGCTACCTACATGGTGGGTTCGAGACCAGTGAGAGGTCCTCCCTCAAAAGACAGAGTAGCTGGCTCCTGGCAAATGACGTCTGAGTTGACCTCTGGCTTCCTGTGCCTGCACACAGATGCGTGCTCCCACACCCTGAAGAGCACACACATAAACAGGTCCTGCGTTGCCTCTTGGTCTTCACAGCTTGCAGGAAGCTGGCACTGTGGGCTTTATCTTTCCTGCCATCTTAGGGAATGCTCTCGTTTTCCACTTGGCATGCCCATGGGGTTAAATATTGT